CACCGCCCCTCGACTCTCGACTTACTTTTGCCATCTTGCCTCCGATTCTGCGGTTAGCCCCACTTCGACCAGAAACCAGGGAAACCGGCTTGTATCCGTCGGCAAACCGGACTCGCGTATCAGGTATATAACACATGTCAAGAAATATTTTCTTTATTACACGTGTGAGTTACCACTTCAAGAGATTTGTAAATATTGTAAATCGATATATCAAATATGTAATATTTAATAATGTATCAAAAGTAATTTTTTAGTCATAAACTTTTTGAAAACGTTTTTCTGTTGTTATCAAAAAAAAAATTATTTTTTGAAAAGATGTTTGTTTTGAATCATAATTTTAATTTTAATCAAAGAGCAAAATATAAATATTATATTTGCAATGTACATCATCGAGTTGACTAATCATAGGCACCTACACGTCTAATACGCTTTGTTGTACGGCAAAGGTTATCGCTCTGATGCGCTGGCACGGAATGCTATGCCAATGATTTTTTCGTTCCATTCAATGACCAGGAATCGATGCGAAATACGTTGTGTGTGCTTATTGGACAGCTCGAGTTCACCAAGCTTTCAATCAACGCTGCAATTTCATCACTCAATTTGATGGTTTTTTACATCACACAAGCATACTCGTATTTTTAATTATGTGTATATAAATTATGTAACATAAACAAGATTTGTTTCTTAAATTTTGTCATTTCACATTTAATATTTAAGTTTGTCACGTGAACTTGGTGAGTTTTTGGAATTTAATTACGAGAACTGTCAGCATTGGATGTGTGTATCTAATCAAACCAAAGCAATAAATTGAGAAACTTTAGAGAAAAAATTAGTTTTTTTTTTTTTAAACGAGTTTTCTACATCTTTAAATTCAATTATAGATAAAAAGACGACGGTGTACGCTTCGGTGTGCTCAAAACTCGGGTCTCTTTGAGGGTCGCGATAAAAGGAAAGCGAAACGGTAACGGAGGCGCGGAAAATCAGCCGTCCGGTTGCGCGCCCCCGCCGTGCAAGCCGGTGCGGCGCGGCGTGGAACGCGCGGCCATAATAATAATTTTTACAAGCCCGCGTGTAATCAAGGCTGCGCGTTACACATGTTCGTTCGTGGGTGCCCCCTACCCGCAGCGCGACCCCCCTCGCTGGCACCGTAGGGGTGGCCGCAGCACGTGGTAGGGACGGCCATTCGCGAGAGGGGACGAAGAGGGGAAGTCGAGGTGGGGAGAGAATTCGGGTGCCAGTGGGGTGTTTCGTGGATAGCAAGGAGAAGAGACCGACGGTGGAAACGAGACGGGAGAACATTCGGGGCGGACGCGGTGCGTGGGTGGGAAAGGGGTAGGATGAACGCGGAGGGGTGTCGGGAAGGGGGGGACGACGTAGTATTCACGCGGTTGCTGGTGCTGCTGCTGCTGTTGTTGCTGCTTCTGCTAGCGGTCGTCGTTCTTCGTGTATTGTTATCCAATCGAGCGTACCGACGAACCGGTTTTCGTGCCGGGCCACGCGCGCCAATATCGCTCGTATGGTATGGCACGAGCTTTTTTTGGGTGGGCGGTCATTGAACAACGGGATGTTATTGGTCGATCACCGTGACACATGCTCGCGCGCGTTTGGAATCGGGAGATCTGGTGTTTATCACGGCGATTTTTATTGACGATCCGCGATATCTGCGTGCGATTATAGGCGCTTATTGAATCCCCATCGATCGACGATGGCTTTAGATCTCCGACTAGTGCAGTTGGTTCTTGTCACAGATCGGCGAACATGAGAGCGTGATCCCTTCTCAGCGTATTCCCAACACGTGTGGTGCATTAGATTTTAGTTGGTGATCCATTTTCGATTACTAAAAAACTTGCCGTTTTTTTCTTGTTGTGCTCAAAGTGAAACATAACTGACAACTGACTATGTCTCTGTATATAATTTGTTACGTACAACTTGTTTGATCGATCTGAAATAATTGCTCGCTATGTTTCTCCTCCGCGATAATCACTCCGTTTTCACTACCACGTGTTTGTGTCCGAATTTGAAGATTCGGCGTGGATGAGTGTCATCGATTGATTGTGGTCTATCTATGTAAAACCCCATATCGAGCTTTGATGGGGTTGTCCCACGTGTTGGTGGGACGGTTTCAGAGCACGAAATTCATCCAAGAACGAAGAGTGTCGTGCCGAAATTGACTACTCAGGATCTGCGGTGAACGATGGTTTTTTCGATCGATCATAACTCGTGGCACAGCGCCGAGAGAACGTATTCGATTTACGAGGAAAGCAGATTTCTCATTTCGAAATGCACACAAAATGTGAGTATTCAGTTGTTTTCGAAACTTGTTGTATATTTCTTCAATAAAATATTAGCAAAAGTTTTATACGGGAACGTGTATTTCAATATGCGACTCCGCGTTTGTGTGTGTGTGTGTGTGTGTCTGTGTGTAAAGAGAATTACTCTCTATTTACTGTAAAATTGAAAATTATATATTAAAAAATTCTACTTTCACATAAGTATCACATTGCGCAATTGTACAATAAATTCTCATTCGGTTAATTTTGTCATCGTGTTGAATCTCGCGAACGCGAGATACCTAATAAATGGTACGTATATAAGCAAATAGAGAACGTTCATATTTTATTTTCTGAACATGAGACAGTACGTAACTCGTACGTAACAATTATATATCGGTAGCGCGGCTCATCAATTAACGTCCTTCAATGCGTCGCTATATATGTATATGGATTGTATGCATCTACACAACACGACACACAGTTGTATATCTATGAATAGAAGCTCACAGAGGACGATTGATTATCTCTTTACTATAGCAGTAAAATAATGAAGCATACACACACATACATTCCCACATATTTCTCTCTGTCTTTCCCTTTCTCTTTTGCAAACGTAATATCATTTTCATTAAATTCGTTGAAATGTTTTATACTCTCTATCTATGTTGCAAAACTTTATCTTTTCTTTATAAACAATCAGTTAATTAAATATTATTTTAAATAAACACACGTAAAAAATAAGAGAATTATGTGGAAAGGATTATTTAAAAAAAAAAACATTGTCTTTTATACACGCGAATGCGCGCACACGTTGTCGTAAGGTTCTCATTAACGTGAAAATGTGATAAATCCTTCTGCGGGTTCGGCTTCTCGGTCGGAGAGAAGCAGATTCGCGGTTATCTCGAGTGCGCGCGGGCAAAGAAACCGATGTTCGTGGAATAGCGGAGGTACCTGGTTTGCCGTGCCCGGCAGTTGATCGGAGCGTGACGAGCAGTAATTGAATGTAGGTATGGCATTTGCATTGACAAGCTCCAACAGAGATAATTCGAATCTCGTCGAACGCAACGGTCCACACGGGCGTTAGGTCGTTTGTCAATACGACGGCGGCCGTCCAGTTTCCACGTTTCCAGCGGTATCGCTGTTTGTCACCGTCTCGTCGGCGATCGTTCGCCGCTGAATACACCCGGTGTATACTTCTGCAGCGCGCGAACGGACCCGTTTTGTTTCGTTCTGTTTCCGCGTGAGCCACGTCACACTGTTAAACGTCACACACGCGGCGAACGCCGGGTCGAAGATTATCACGCCGATTGTTGTTGCCGCCAAATCGTTTTCTCTTTTTTCCCGCAAAAAAAAAAAAGAACACTCGGCAAAAAGTATTTGTTTTTTTCAATCGTTTTTGCGAATGTGTGTGGCGGAGTTTGAGTTTGTTTAAAAATTTTCATATATCACAGAAATTTACAGACAACAACGAAATTAGGCGCATAGAACTTAGGCAAAGAGAACTCCGACAACGCAAGCCGCGATATCCTTCCGAAAGTTTAAAACAGAAGAAAAAACTTGTATATTTTTTTCTCGAAAAAAAAATACGAAAAAAAAAAAAACGGATATTAAGATTGTACTTTGATGTGTGCACGTCAAACTAATATAAAAATTGTTCCTGAATTTGTTGATTTTGTACAAGCGGATCCGCACATATCTGTAGAGAACCTCGAGTATTTGCCTGCTGGCAGGTCCGCGACCGGTTGGATATCGTCAGGATATATTCGCGCAGGAAATGGGTAGTTCCATTGTTTGCACATTCGTACAAACAGTGCAACTGCGAGGATGCGCCGGTACCTCTGTTTGATTTTCGAAAGTGAAGCTTCATTGTACGAGATATCGATATATACGAGTGTTCCGAATGCATATGAAACAACGATGCACATTTCGAGGGAAAAAAAAACGTAGATCTCAATTAGGAGAGGGAAGGAGCGATCGGTCGCGAGCGCATTGTGTGATATTTGTTGAAATTGCGCGAATGATATTTTTCCGCAAACTTTTACAAAATGCCGATATATCGGTTGTTGCCGGAAATTCCGCTGTGCGCCGCGCAAATTCAACATTGGCTTTGACACGATTAATTCCGCGGAAAGTTTAACCTCGGTGAGACTAATTGGAGGTATCGAGGTGTTGCAACGCACAGATCGCGCGCAAGCTACACGCACGTGAAAGTCGTGAAAAAAAAAAGTGTACACGCGCGCACGCGCGTATAGGCCGCGCGTTAACGGAGAAAACCGATCAAATCGGGATTCGATAGATCGATCGAAGGCGCTCTCCCGGCTCTCCCACTGATGTCCAGCACGCGAGCTATACCGCAAAAGGGTCGAGGGGAAAGAGAGCGTGCGATAGAGCGAGATCGCCCCGGGAGAAAGAGAGAGTCGACGCCGCGACAGGGAGAGGTCGAGTCCGGTGGGAGATAAAGCGATAAAGAGCGGCTTGCGCGTGAGAGAAAGAGGTTTACGCCGAAGCGGAATGAGGGACGGAAAGAGAGAGAGAGAGAGAGAGAGAGAACGAGGAAGAGAAACGTGGGAGGGAGCCGGAGAAAGAGATAGAGACAGCTAGAATAGGGAAGGAAGGTTGGTGGAAGGAGTGGGGTGGCAGAGGGGTATGAGAGGAGGAACCAGGAAAGGGGAAAGGGATGCTGCGTGTGTTGGCATGGACCAGTGCGTCAACGGCTGTTGCCTCACACGAACCGCCGAAATTATAGTTAGTGACCCCCAACGGATACTCCGAAATACACTCTCGAAACTAAACGTTGCGCCGCTATACCGTGGCAGGAACTGCCACTTTCGTGTTACTCGCGGGGGACGAAGATGATTCGGAGGTGCCGCTAACGAACCGCCGAGGGGTCCCTCCGGGATCGCCCAAGGGGGGACCGTCGTCGTCAGACAATCCTTCGGGCTCTGTCAAGCGATCTTGAGGGGGAGACGCGTTTCGGGCAGAGAGACACAAGATCATCTCCGGCTATTGATAGCTTGTTTTAAGTGAAGTGTTTGAGGAGGAGAACCTGGCGAACATTTGTTCCCGTTCTCGATGGAACTGCGTTTGCACGTCGAAGTGATTATGCGAGAGTTTAGTGTCCGACGACGAAGGTGATATATATCGTGTAAAACGTGATAGACGATTTATGTACGCGTAGCTCGGATACACGGATAAAAGATACATAAGAGTCGCCAAAGTAAGTGAAAATTTTGGAAAAGGAAATTCTTTCTTTCATCGACGCGATTATTTTCGAATAGCCGAAAGCAAGAGTTTTTAGAAACATTTCTCAGCATCAGTCTCAACTAGTAGTGCTTTTTAATAGATCAAACGTTGTTATTATAAATTATATGTGTATATATAAATGCAACAGTTTAATTATTTTATATTACAATTGCTATTATTTTGTTGATTCATTCTGATAAAGATTTTTCCAGGAAATTTCTTGATGCGTTTTGAAATTCGTCGATTTGAAAACGTTCAAATACAGATCGTTCGTTTGTTCAAAAATAAATAAACCGAGTAAGAATCAATTAACAATTATGTGACAAAAATATTGTTAAATTTTGTCGAAAGACGGTGCGAGCGGAGCGAGTTTCGTAAGAGATTTGAATGCGTAGTCAAAGCAAGGATCTTGAGCCGTCGCTGCGCGATTCTCACAGAATCGTAAGAAAATCAATGCGCAATGTTAGTTCGTTTTTGTTCGCACATATTCAGCATTATTTTTCCACAAACTTTCTTCGAATTTGTTTAATGTTTTCTTTAGAGAAAAACAATCTTACACACATACGTCGTCGGTTTTTCACACACATCGCAATATTTTATTTGTTAAACAGAACGCAACTAAAAGATTTTAAAAAATGTCGGTCGCAGTTCCGCAGATTTGTCAAAGCGATCACTTGCTTTGTATGATTTATATGTAATTAGCGCAATTATTCTAACCATTCTACAAGGATTAGCACAATTATTCTAATCATTTTATTCACAGCTCGTCAAGAGCGTGGCGACTGACGTAAAAAGATAAAAACAAACGATCTCTGTTGTCGCGCTCACGTCGCACAATTCACTTTACGCTTACCGTTCGGGGTTTTCGAGAAATACAAATTATCTCCTTATGTCTTGTTACAAAAATTGTATATTATCCGGCTTGAGATATTTTCGAATCGCAAAGACCCGTCATTGACAGGACGCAACGTGGTAAACGTAGCCACGTGCAGTTTGACACGCGGTCGTACGTGCGTAGGGGTTGGGTATTCGTGTGGGGGGGTGCCTACCGGCGGGCGTTCTTTTTCCCCTATTTTTTCCGTCCCCACCACCGGTGCCGGTCTGCCCCTCCTGGAACCACCTGGATCCAGCGTGTCAGCCCCGGTGACGTGCGCAAAAATTACTGAATGAACGGTGACGTCACGAGCCAGCCGCGTGAAAAGTGTGCGAGTCGTTCCTGTCTGTGTCAACCCCGTTTTCACCCCCTTTCGTTTCTCTTCGCGCGTTATCAGCCGTTCAACGCCACCCCCCCGCCCACTTTTTCGCGACTGTTTTCCGTTTGCGAAGGTGTCATGTCGATGCGAATGTTGATGGCGGTTCGGTTAAAGATTTTCGCGAAATTGTGCGCGAAATGACGGCGCGCGCAAAAGATTTTGTTTAACGGATTAAGAATAGTTACAAAACGTCGATTGCTGCGCGGCTGCTGATCAGCGACGGGCCGCGAGAACGACGACGGCCGTCGCGTGTGATACGAGAAATAATAAACCGCCAAGCAAACACTCGAGGTTTTAATCTGCGTGTTCTTATAGCATCAAACGCGTGAATAAATTTATAGCAAGAACAAATTATTTTGTAATTTAATACACAAAAACAAACAATACAAAAAAATATATTTAATTAGATGAGATATAATAATATTAACGTTAGATTGTTTCGTTTAAATTCCAGGTACTTGTGATGTAGAGCCGAACGTTAGAAGATAAAAAATTTTAGAAGAGAAAATCTCAAAACTGTGTTTCGGCCCGCGTCTTCGTCGGAAAAATTTCTCTTCCACACACAACGATTATGTCGAACAAAAATAACAATCTATTTATTAAGAACGTTAAGATCGAAAGAAGAATAAAAAGCACGCTTCCCGAATTCATATGATAATAATACATTATTCAATAAAAAAAAAAAAAAAAAAAAGAAGTCGAGGAAAAACTTTAAGTCAAAAGTTTTGAGATTATATCACGCCGATATAATAGAAAGAAGAGTCATTATAGAATTAAAACGAAGTAATCTCGAATATAGAAGTCCGGAAAAAAAAAACAATTGGGAATATAATCGGAATAACAATCCGGAAAAAGAATCTGTATTCTCGCGCGGAGATTGATCGCAGGCCGATTCCGAGTCTGATTTCCTGAGAGAGAAGCCAAAGTGCGATCTTGAAAAAAATGTTGGCGAGATTCTACAGATTCAACGGGTAAAAAACCGAATGGAAGGATGTTTCATCCGGTGTTTTGACTGCCTATGGATATATTCGGCCGTTGCAACGGCGGTGGCAGCGGAAGCACGGTAGCCGGAAGCAGCGGCGCTGGCTCGGTGAGAACGTCCAGCAACGAGTCCGCTGGTGGTGGTGGTGGCGGCGGCACGTCGAGCGGTACCAGCGAGAGCGGCAGCAGCGCGAGCAGCAGGATGCAGTTGACAGGAGCCTCGGCTCCTGGCGCGGCCGCCTCGCCGGAGTCTGGCGTCTCTCCGTTGACCGATGCCTACACCAAGATGACCAGCGACATCCTCGCCGAGAGGACTCTGGGCGACTTCGTCAGCGAGCATCCTGGCGAGCTAGTTAGAACGGGTAATTGGAACAGTGAATATATATACATATATTCAGCAGCTTTAAAGCAACGATTAACAATTGCGCGCGTAAAATCAAAGCGAAACATATGCGGGGACACGAAAGTGATCTTCGGTGATTTCTTTTAATTGCGTAAAAATAAAGTTTATACACACGGTCATGTGTGTTACGGCTCGAAGAAAGTTAAACCGACATTTTGGTTACAGGGTCACCGCACTTGGTCTGCACCGTCCTGCCCGCACACTGGAGATCCAACAAAACTCTTCCGGTGGCTTTCAAGGTCGTGGCTCTTGGCGAGGTGGGCGACGGTACTCTCGTTACGGTTCGCGCTGGAAACGACGAGAACTGCTGCGCCGAGCTTAGAAATTCAACGGCTTTGATGAAGAATCAAGTCGCTAAATTTAACGACTTGAGGTTCGTCGGCAGAAGCGGAAGGGGTGAGCAGTGAAGCTTGTTAAATAGCATCTTGCGATTGAAAAAAGATTTTACTCGCCCGCCCACGCAAGAACTTGCGGCGTTTGTTGTAATTTGTCGCTAAGGAAGGGGTGTGACATCTTCTTCTTGTCCCACTTTCCTTTCCATTCATAAAACTCCGAAGTTCCTTCGTGTCGCCCTTCGTCTTTTACACTCCGGAAGAAAATGCCGGAGGGGCGCGCGACGATGAAAACCCTCTTCAAAGAATTCATGCGCCGCGTAGTAAGGGTAGGTCGCGGACGTGTCTTGAGACACAACCCCCGTTTTTCCTTGGCCCTCTTGCCAAGGAAAAGTCTTATATATCTCTGGTTTAGTTTGGCTCCTCAGGGGTTGGTTCTTTCTTGCGGGGCGAGGTAAAGATCGAGGAGAAGACGCGTTGGGGTGGGTAATGGCTTTTATTTGTCCGCATCGCGTCGTGCGACCTTCTCCTTTCGCTTTGCCACCACCCCACCTCCGGTCTCCGGTCTCGTGGAAAGGGCGAGAAATGAGAGGGACGAAGAAGAAGCCGTCGCCGTTGCCGACGGGAAGCGCACACAGAGAGACGGGTGATATTAATTGAGGTTTGAGTTGAGTTTTAATTAACGTTATTAGACCCGGTATTTCGTCTAACTGCGTCTTTTGAACTTGCGCCCGAGAGAGAGAGAGAGAGAGAGCCCTGGATTAACGTAACTTAAAGTAACTGCGTGTGCATCTCCGACCTACTTCTAACAATGTCGATAAAGTTGTTTGGCTTAGTTATAGCGATCGATTATGCGATTTCGCTATTTTATATCAATCACATTTCTTACAAGATCTTAGACAGTAAGATTGACAATAATAAAAAAAAAAACTAATACGTCAAAGAAAAAGTGTTTTTACTTTTATGTTAATCACATCCGGATGTATACTGTCGTTGTCATATTTTTTGATCGTATCTTGGCGCAAGGACGGGCTAATCGCTTGAGAATTAGGAAACTCGCAAATTCTCTAGCTAGGAGAAGCGGGGGGTGAAACTCTTCCCCCGAGTGTTCACGGGAACGCGTCAGTCATTTGTCTGGGATTAGCTCTCAATTGTTTTCGCCGAGCGCGGAATTAACATAAGCTAGGATGAAGAATGTAAGAGAAGTGTCTCTCTCGTCAGGATTCGTAACGGCTCCCTTGGCTCCTTGAATATTCCCTGGAAACCGATGTGCGCCGAACTCTCGGGAATTCTTAATGATCCTTCCTCGTTTGTCGAGCGTGGAAATATTCGCACGTACGGATTTGTGAGAAAGATTCTCTCTCTCTCTCTCTCTCTCTCTCTTTCTCTTTCATTCTCTTTCTTCTTTTGAGTGAGTCAAAAAAACTTAGGAATATTATTTATCTTTTACACTTCCTCTCAGTCTCGTATACGCGCGCAGTCAATAAATTTGTGATATTACAAAAATTTGTTGCACACTTCGGACGTTGTGCGACGAAACAAAATATATACGTTCGGAAAATCTTTCGTAAAAATAAGAAACCAATAATTTTCGGTCCTCGACATTACCGCGCGAGGAATCTGAAAGGATCATTATGTCAGCGCCGACACTACGCTTTTGTCTTCGCCTAAAACCGCTTTTAGCCCGGACAAGATTGAGCGTACTGCCACGATAGTCGAGAGCTTTGCAATATCGATGATAAGCCGTAACCCCCTTCCCGCACGTTCAACCGTAATGCCTGCTCCATCACTGCAAAGTCTACCCTGAAGGTACTGGATTGTTTCCACCCCTTCGACCCTAAGCCCTTTAACGAGATAGATCATTTGCGCGCTTATAGTTCCAACCCATAACAGGCAAGGTATCCTTCGACTTTGCTGCCGTGAATAAACCTCGTCACGGGAACCTCGTCTCGCCAATCTTACCAAAGTTGCTTTAATTCTACACAACGCGCTCTGTGTTTTCTTAAACCTATTAATCAATGTACTTGCGTAAAAGCGCAAAGCGAACAAAAAAATAATCGGATACTCAGAATAAAATTCTACGCGAACTGAAAAACAAAAAAAAAAAAAAATATCTCTGATAATAATTTTTTTCTTCAATTTTATTAAAACAGAGACTTCACATTTGAACGTGTTAAACATTTCTTTTTTTTAAATTTATGTTTGTTTTTTTTCTATAAATTCGCGCAAAATATAATTATAAATTTACATTTTCGAGCGTGTATAAAAAATATAAACGCGCGCGTTAAATCGACGAGACGCGTTCGCTCGTGAAATGCTAATTTGTTGGCCGCAAAACGCGAAACTCGTTTTATCGCGAAAAGAAAAACGGCGGTCGGCTCGCGATGACGACGGCAGTTCCTGACCGTAATCAATTCGTTATCAGACTCCAATTGCGCATTTGTGTTTCGTTCGGCGAAAATTGAAATTAATTAATTGGCCCGACAGTAGTACACCGACAGCGTACAATACCGGGACACGTGTATGCACGCGTAGTCCCGCACACACGTTTACAGAGGATCGTATGCTAACGAGCATAATCAGCGAATAGTCGGGAATGCGTTTCCCCGCACAAATTTCCCTAAATTTGATGACAAATATGGTCCTCTTCAAGATATTTAAAAATTATAATACACTCCATGTGTGTGTGCGTGTGTGCTAATAATTAGATATAGATATTATCATCGTATAATTATACATTATTCCGCAAATAATTCTCCGGAAACTGACTCCACTCTACTAGTCCACATTTAACTGATCTGTTGTTGTCTGAATGTGAATGAAAATCCGTTTTTCGTATTCGTCGAATATGAAAAGGAAAACATTCGCCAGATTTCGGGAAACACAAAGTGCGACCGGCGGTTCGTTTGAACAAACGCGAGCGCGTTTGAGAGATTGTACATAAGGGCGTTTTCGAGAGACAGAATAGTCGCAAAAACGATTCTTGATGACTGTACGGCGACTGGCACCAAGGGTGATACCGTGTAACCTTACGTGTGCCTATCCAACTGGAAGCACATCGACTCCGAAGGCAGTAAAGGTGAAAAGACCGGTTGCCGGCGAGAGGGGAGTGGGGGGGCGTAGAGCGAAAATGGCGTGACTCGCAGTCAAACCGAGGGGAATTCCCCGGCTGGAAAACGAAAAGCTCGCGTGGCGAACCGCCGTGTGGCCAGACTCGACACTCGCCATTATTTCTCCGGGGGGGGGGGGTGCAGCCTTAACTCTCCCGCTCTCCTCCTGCTGCTTTGCCACACTCGTTTTTTCCCTCCATCGATCATCTTACGTCACTACTACGCGCGCGCGGAGACTTCGCCGTCTCTCTGTCTGTTATGTCGATTTTGTACGGCCGATTTTTACAAGAAAGAAGAATACAAATCGCGACTTGATAAACTTGCGCGATTCCGATCGATTATCGCGTTCGTTATCGCAACGGGAAATGTGTCTAATGGGTTTTGATAGAAAAATATGGTTAATGGCTATAGCTCGAAAGTACAACGCGAACGTTGTAACGCATTATATCGGAAGAAGCTCGATTTAAGAGCTGATATAAATAACGTAATGTGTTATCTTTCATTTTGTGTAAACCCGATGACGGTTATAAAAGCGCGCGCTTCGCTAACTTCGCAACATTATCGTATCTAATTTCAACGAAAAACATATTTCGAAAGCGCGCTATCGCGCGGAATGTACACAATATGTGGGTTAGTAAGAAGATCGTTACATTATATATATTTTGACGTCATAATGCAAAATATGATTGCGCTGCTCGTAAACACATTGCGCGTCCTCGCGCGTCATGCAAATGCGCCGCGAAAAATATTCATGACGGAAGATGAGAAAATACACGCAAACGAGTCGAGCGCGCGATGATGTGAAAAAGAGGGTGGAGGCTAAAATTGCGGTAAACCTCCGCGCGCGCGCGCGAGCGCGTAACGTTATCACGTGCGCAAAAGTTTTTCTCTGCGGTGACTGTATCAAAAAAACTCTCTCTTCGCATTTTCACGCGTCGCTCATTATTGCGTAATACTCTTTCGCGCATTGAATCGATAAAACGCCGCGATAAGCGGCTCGCCGCGAGTTTTCACGGGCGCGAAGTTTCTTCGGCGCTTAAACGTTCGCGGGGGGATAAAATTGCGGTGTACCGTTGAGCGCGGCGTTTCACCTCACCCTCTCCCCCCACCCGGTTTCGAGCGACCAGACTGGTTTTTCCGCGACATTATTTTCGCGCCGTAACCGAGGCTTTTTAGCATCACGCGACTGTTTTCTCCCTCGCAAACCCTCGAACGGCCAACCCTCTCTCTATTCCCTTAACTCGGCCGCGTTGGCTGGCCACCGTCACCGTCGACGACGCCCTCGATACATTACCGACGTGTAATTCGGTTACCACGGAGTTTCGCTCGGCTAACCGCGTTTGCGAACTTTCGACGTCGAGTTGAATAGGCGCGTCCACGAGTCGACGCGTTTTCGTCGCCGGAAACGAAAACGACGTTAAAAATGCGCCTCACGTGTTCATTCGTCTCCGCTTTTCGAAAGTTAATTCTTCTTCTATGCGCATCGCGATACGGTGAAATTAAAATTCTGCGTTTAAACGATAGACACGCACGCACGCACACACACACAAATTTGATTTAAAAAAAGTGAAACATTTATATTTGTTCGATAACATTGTTGAATTAATTTTGTTTTTTAGGTAAGAGTTTCACGTTAACAATAACAGTGTCGACGACGCCGCCTCAAGTCGCTACATACACCAAAGCGATCAAAGTGACCGTGGACGGGCCGCGTGAGCCGCGATCCAAGACCAGTGAGTATCACTGTAAGCATTGCTATTCTTATATATATATATACACACATATATATACATATATATATTATATTTATTTATCATACATATATATATATTGTTTACTTAGTAGAGTGAATAGGAACAACGCGCGCCTTTCAAACCGGACGGAATCAGTGGGTGTTCTCAAGTCAGTGTGTTTGCGCGGATTCGGTTCGGAACTGCGCGTTTTTGTTTCTCGAGATCTTTGAACGTTGAGAAACGCGCGCGTTCGGCCTGCGCTTGGCACTTCGATGAACACGTGGAAACGATCGTAAACGTAACGTAATGCTTAAACGAACGAGCGGCATGGCACCGGAGGCAGTAAAAGCCACAAGTTCGAAATGGGTCCCCACATGCGGCTTCGTGCTGGTCGGCCGTTATCTCCGAGGCTAAGTTTCGCGCGCAATTGCCATTATTTATAACCGCGGGGCAACCGGGCCCCGCCATAACATTGACAAAGAGCTTGCGCGGGCATTGCACCCCCGTGGGAGGGTGTGTGTATCGCGGCGTTTTAGCCAAAACGCCGAGAACGACAATGCCTACAAACTTACTTCGCGGATTTCCGGGTTCGCGCGCGGGAACTTCTCCGCGCGCGAGAGAGCTACCTCCGAGACATACAATTACCTGGGAATTCTCTCCCGTTATTTCGGTAGGTCGCAGTCGAGATTGCACGACGTGGTGTAAATGCAAGGGTTTCCCTGTGCACGGGCGAAGAAAAGGGAAACCCTCTCCCATCTCTTCCCGTTTGTTGCGTAATCCAACACGTAGAGCGCATTGCCGCACGTTCTCTCGAAATATACGTTTCGGATACGTTAATAATTTCCTGACGCGTCGAACAACGATTAAGCAACTTTTTTTAAAGATCTCAAATTACACACAAAATAAATACTTAACAACGTTGATGAGAAATGACAATTTAAATTTAACCGTAAACACGTCGAAAACGTTTTCGTAAATGTAGATTGATATTTTGTTGTCAGATTTGTGTTGCAAATAAATAATTTGTTAAAAGATTTTTATTCGCGTTTATATCGCAACGCGCGCGCGCGCGCGCGATACCGATAATCATGTAATACGTACATATTTTCGCGTTATCGTTTGCTCGGAGACAGTAAAGCACTAATATTGTTCCTGATGAGGGCGCACCAAAAATATCCGATAGCTTTAATATATCGAGGCGGTCTCTCTCTCTCTCTCTCTCTCTCTGGGTAGCGCAACATAAGTTTGGTACCTTGGGAAATTGCGACCACATCCGCCGGCTTGGCCGCATCTGCGGACCACCCACGAAACTTCCGTCATAAATCCAAAATATGAAAACGCGAAATTTCGGTGTACCGCTCGGAGACGCGCATCCAAGCAAAACACTACGTCACGCTTCAGAGAAGTAATTTCTCTTACGATATTAATTACTACTACCTGTGTAACTATGTTGTGTTATATCTGAATTAAAAATAGAATATTATGCAAAAAAAAAAAAAAAAAAATAAAACATTACTCTTTTATATAATAAAATTTTTCAAGTTGATTCTAATTAAAAGTAATGAGAGAGAGAGTAAATGATAGACATATATACATATATGAGAGTGTGTGTGTGTGTGAGTGAGTCGGTTCTTTTGAGAACACAAATATAAGTTTGCAAAGCGTGAAAAATATTTGAAAAACAAACACCGGAATGTTTGGAGATCGTAAGATAGCACAAGGACGTTGGAAATAAGCGTTCGTCAAGTCGGAACTTTCGGCTCTTCAATGAAAACAGACCGTGAACTGAACTATAGAGAGAAATAGCTTAAGTTAGAGGGAAGCGGCATGAGATAAAAGGATTTTTAACCTCCCTGGGTGGTCGTTCTTAGCTTCTTTCGATGCCGCGATCTACGTGTTGTATGTTATCTTTCGAACACCATGAGAGTGCGCTATTTATTATATTGAGTTGTTTGGAAAATTTAGGTCGGTTTTTTTGTTTTAAATGAAATTCAAAAGTTTTGTTTCTCGATCTTTATTTGTATCTTTATTTTCAGCAATAGGTGTATGCATCTCATTTTTTTTTTAATGACTTGTCTCGTGAATCGCGGGTTGTTTTTAATTGACGATTTCGTCTTCTTCGAGAAGACGCTGCACGAACTTTCGAAACAACAATACAATATTTCTTCCTACTACATCTTTCTATGTAGTAGGAAGAAATATGTTAGCGATTGTGTGACATAAGGAGACATTGCATGATTTAATATGTTAAAAAAATATTTTTCAGTTATTCTGAAGATCCCACTGAAGATGACTAGAAATATAGTCGAAACGTATGGAAACTAATGCAATTTAATAATTTTTATTCCTGCATACCATCCCGCAACACCGTTCGGTCACGCCTACATTGCCACCACATTTGAAAAATATTTTTTATATTTATATTTTTTCAACAATTTCTTTCATTTTATTAGTAACTTTGATTAAATTCAACGCGCACACACGACTGTATAAAATAACTGCGGATATGTATATACGTAGAAAGAGAGAAACACATATGGTGATAATACTACAAAGTTTTCGCATTTGTACACGTCCGACGATCGAACACACGCGTGGACGCGAACGCGCGAATCTTATCTAAGACAACATCGAGCGAGGTGCTTCCACACAGAGAGAGGGTTGTAATTAATTAAACAAGCAATTCATTACACATTCTACCCTCGTCTGGTAGCCTCGAAGGTGGCCGTCGCGGAAAGGCTGCTGCGGGACTCAAGGAAATTGATTGAGGGAGATTCGGTCCTGAGTTCCGATGTTTCTCGCGCGGACTCGAGACCGATCTCGAAAACGAGATTTCTGCGTTCTGCGACTCGCAAAATGAAACGAAACTCGTTCTTGGCCGCCGCGAAAACGGCGAAAGATCGAAAATAGGTTTCGCGCGTTTCAACTATCCAGCTCGTGTCGCGAGGAGATGATTTCGAGGGACGCGCGGGTTGAGAGCGGCGGGAGGAGAGCGCAGGGGATTGGTGCGACGCGGAACGAAATGAGGATCTGTCGTTGCCAGCTGCTAACTCTCGAGAAATTCCCTGGCAGTCACCGCGCGCCCAAAGAGGGTGTCCAATGAAATCGATAGCCGCCGACTTGCCGGGGACTTACAACTTCGTCCAATCGCCAATTGCCTCTTGCTTTGCAAAAAAACGAATCAGAAATTGTTTGTCAAAAGGACATCCGGATTATACGGATTCGAAACGAATCACAACCGAACATTAACAACAAATGAGAGAGCGGAGATTCAGGGTATCTATCTCTGGACATCGTTTCAACAAAGAAACATCTCAAAAAAAAAAAAAAAAATAAAAGCAAACCAGCTGTAACTCGAAAGAGTGAGCAACGCGCGCGCGCACACGCTGATTATTTGCCGTTTACGTTTAAAACGAAAAGCGCAACGTGTGAGAGGGTTCCAGCCGTTTAGAAGAGCGAGCGATCGCGCGCATTCATTCAGAGGGTCGCACGAGTGCTCGACGCCTAATGAAATACTGCGAGAAGAACGACGCGACGAATTCAAAGGGTTAGGGTGGCGTGATAAATTCGTGGGTCGAGCGGCATAATTTATTAAATCTATCAAGCCGCCGTAGAACCCCGTAAGAGACTGAGGTACTTGTACCTCGAAACCAAATCTCTCCGTTCGAGAGATGTTGTTGCCGTCTTCCGCGATCGCGTTCTGGGCACTGAACTATAGATTATACTAGAACGCTCACTCAATGTTAAGCAGCCGGTCACTCGAAAGATAGAGATAGGTATATTTGTCCCCATATCTATCCTTGTCTGAGCATTTCTGATTGGAGCTTTAAATATTTTTAGTTTGAAGTAGGGTAGGGTAGTATAAGGTTAAAAAAAAGACAGGTTGCTGACAATTCTCTGTCTCTATCGTCCGGTTTCTTCCCATTTGAGTGAGCGTTTCAGTATAGCATATAGTTCAGTGGTTATGGGTCGCGTGACACAGGGTGTCTCCTCTCCCTCCCGCATTTTGCGTCGTAAGATAACGCATAGGTACAATCGTCGAAAATCGAATTTCGCTTAAACTCGCGGCGCGGCGAATGATTTACCTCTTAAAATGGGAATAAAAGACGCGCCATCCTACCTAACCTACCTACCTAAGGAAACCTGCACGATCTATAGAATTTTCTCCCTGGGTCCTGCGGCGTGCTCGAATCGCCGGTCGTTTAACAGGATCTCGTTAGTCTCGGTACCCGTCGGTATTCCGCCGTCGCGCCCCCATTGTGTCCTCGGATCGAGCGTACCCTATTCAGCAAACCGGCGGGAATTTCGGGTTGCCGAGTTAGAATTAGGGCTTCGATTGGATTATCAGGACGGCGGGAGTCCGCCGCCTCCCTTCCGACCTTCCGTGTCGGTCTCTCTGGCCTCCGGTGCCTTCCACGTTTGGATCGTTGCCTTTAGGGGAAGGGAACGGACCTGCACACGTACGGCCGTCCTGTGCGGCGGACCTCCGGCCAGGGAGGACAGAACGGATAGAACGTCCGCCTGTTGGGACGTCTTTAATTGGGTTGGCGACACCGTCGCAGGGAAATAAAATGTATCGATGCTTCTCTCTCGTGTCTCCCTCTCGTTCGTTTCCCCCCCGGTTTCCGAAGGGACGGCTACGATATTTAGTTCCGTAGTATTTATTCCGTTTGTCCGAGTAATATGAAAGATACACCTCTCATCGATTGTCGGAAAAAAAAAATGATATAATATTATACGTTTACGTGTGTGTCCGTGTAACATAGAAAATATTACACACTTATTATTTGCAAATTTCAGAAAAATAATTAAATTTATTGCGTGGATAAAAAAATCGTTTTTTTCAATGAGAAACGAAATGAAACGTGTAGTTTGAAACGAACGATTGATACGTGTATCGGAGGTCCAGTGGGCAGGCGCACGGTTGATCGCAGTGCTGTCTCTTTTAGGGCAACAGCAACAGTTCCATGCCTTCGCGTTCGCTTCGCAACGAGGCGGTCCGTTCTTCGCGTCGCCTCTTGTGGATCCGCTGCAACCTCTGCCAAATCCGTTGCAACCGTTACCGAATCCGCTTCAGCCGAGAGATCCGTTGTCTTCTTTCAGACACGCGATGCCTGGTAATTGTCAGAGTAAGTAAATCGACCGAAGTATTTTTGTGCATGTATGATTGTGCAACTCTCTCTGTTCTTCTTCAATCGCACGTTGCTTCACAACACCGTGTCAATAAATTTGCACACGTATGTATATATTTCTTTTTCTTCTTTGTCATTATGAGAAATTCCTTGACGGGGGCAAAATATATATATTTTTTTAAACTACGTACAGACAGATATATAGAAATCTATTTATAAAATATTTATACAAGAAAACATCTTTTTTACAAGGCGTTTTTTTATTTTTTTTTTATTTTTTACATAACAACGTAACATTTATGTAATTTTTGTCATCGAGCGCGTAGGTTTCGTCGAGTTTGGGAATATTTCCAACCAGACTGTTGCCAGTCTGAGTACAGAAGCACGGCTTTTGGGTAGGCTCGGCAGAGCCAGCTTCTCGGCTTTAGAGGCGGAAACCGCAAGCCTGTTCAAAGCTAGATTAAATATTATATTAAAGGGGTTGCCACGGAAGCGCGTCCCAGTCGGTTGGCTCCCTGTTTTGGGGGCGCAGACTCACCTTCCCTCCGCGTTTATAACGTAGATTCGCGAGTTTGCGCGCAAAGCATCACGTCATCAAAGTAACACCGCGAGAGAACGTTGGTTGAGTATTTAAAAAAAAAAAAAAAAAAGGCTTAGGTTCGTTGATTAATATCGTATATTCGATCAAATCTCTGGCTCTGATGAACGAGCGAACGATAACTGTGCGATAAAATTTTTAATACTCTTCTCGTGAGTGAACACACATCGATAAACTGATCTGGTAGCGGCGCAAGAACAGACGAGAAAAAAAAGCTCGAACAATAATTCGCGAGATCAGCCGTTTTAATGAGTTACCTCAGACGTGAGGGCTGACTGCCACGCTGCAAGCTAAATTTCCCGATAAAATACGAAGCACGCCGAATATTTCCTTTATTAACTTTTTTCCCTCATCGGGCATCTGGTCGTCCGATAATACACCTACGTGATCGTATTATTCTCACACTGCGCGCTTCGGCGGATTCGATTTCGAGAGACACTTGTCGATGCACAGTTACTTCTCTCTTATAATAAAATTATATACACATGTAAGAGTTTTTTTCAGAATATACAATATTTTAGTATAATATAGTAAAATATAACGTTTAACTAAAATATTAAAGATTGATATACTAGCCAATATGCCGAATGTATATATTTTATATACACATATTTGTTTGTATTATATATATATATATTTACTTTCTTTCTTTTAACGTGTAAATTAATACACGTATAATGGAGATTTGAATTAAATTTAATTCGAAAATTCACATTTTAAATGGTTTTAATATATACGCGTTTAATTTTAAAATTAACTCTTTTATATATATAATTAAATATAATTACGTAATTATATAAAATAATTAATAAATAATTAATATATAATTATAAAATTATATATAAAAAAGAAAACTCTTAATTTTTCATTGAAAGAATGCAACAAAACAATCGTATATGGTTTTCTTTACTAAAACACGAGAAATAGTTTCGAGGTCAGGATTCAATACGGCATTTAAATCCCTCCGCAACAAATTCCGAAATACTTGGAATAGACCCCGGGCGCAACTTTCGGCGATTTTCCATAAAAAGGGTAGCTCCTCTTCGGACCGCAAGGAATCCGGTGATACCGAAGGACGTGAAAGCACCGGGCGGGCAGCAGTATTTAGGGTTAGCTCTCATGACGACGGTCCGGTGGCGCTCACCGAAGCGAGCTCGGTTATTTGAGTTGGCCCCAGCTACGCGAGGGAGGGATGACCAACCCTTTGATCTCGATGTGGCCCCCTCCGTTCTCCCTTCCTCCCCCACACTTTCCGCTGTGTCCGCCTGTGTCGCTCTCGCGAACGCTCTCGCTTCCACCCCCGTGCTCGTCCTTTCCGCATTCAATCCCCGTGACTCATTGGAAAATCTATCGGGGATGCTGCCTATACCCCCCGCAAAAATACATTCGCCAAGGGGCGCGCAAAACCGTTACTGCCGACGCTGCTCGCTGCGCGTTTCGCCAAGTGATCCCGAATTGGCATATAATCCAGTGAAAATTCCCTTCTGTGTTTTTTTTTTTTTTTTTATCATCCTTCTATTGTTTCATCCGATTGCCGCGATTATTATTTATCTTTTTTTCGCCGACTGCCGAGTGTCAGAGAGTTGTCGGTTATATTGCTGTCGATGTTTTTATATTAGCGCGCTTTTTTCTTATTATACGTGTTGCTTCTTTATGTATTACTTGTCTCTCTTCGCTTCGTTTATTGCTTTTTCGTTGCGTCGACGATGTAAAAATGCTTTCTCTTCAATTTTTGTGCCGTGTATATATAATTAAACGTTTGCCTTTTCTTTCTGATTTTGATTCGTCAATGTTTTTTTTTTTTGTTTGTCGCATTATTGGCAAGATGTGAAATAGAAGATTTCTTCAGATATGTCTCAGTTCGGGCTGACAGCGAGCAATTCTTGGGGGTACGGCAGCACGGCCGGTTACGCCGGTTATCTTCCGGGTCCTCTGTCGTCGTGCGCCGCACAGGCGTCGTTCCCACCTCCGCCGCCACCTCCTCCACCACCACCGCCGTCGTCGACGTTGGCGTCTTTCGCCGGCACGGCATCCATGAGCACGCCGACGGCACCAGATTCGACGGCAGGCTCGACCGTTTCATCCGGAACTGGCAATACCGCCAATACGCAACAACAGGATGCATTTTCCGCGGTCTCCTCTCGTAAGTTCAAAAGCTTATAGCACGATTTTCGTCTACGTGGTTCCTGACGAACGGAATCAACCGTGTACATCTAAAATCGCATTAGAGCCAGTGTCGTCATTAACACGTTGAATGCCGAACCAATTTTATACGACTCGCCCAAAGCACCGGGATGAAGTTTTTTGGTTTTACGCGAGATGCGTGTTATTATAAAATATCACATCTACAACGGAAGTTAAACTGTATTATCATAACTTATGTGCATTTATTTTACCGGAGGTCACCGGTAACCCTCGCGGCGTGCGCGTTTTTTCGATCTCCCATTATATTTCACTTAGTTTTTACGAAGATCAGTTGTCTCGATCATTTTTTATCTCGCTCATTCTTGTTGAGCCCAACTATCGGGTAATAATGTTTATTACCTGACCATACTTTTACACGCTACATCAATGTTCACCAAAGTCATAGAGGATCACGCTCGCAGTTACAACAAACGAGATAGACAAAAGGTCAAAATCGAGCAAATATAAAGTTTGTGAATATATATATTAAGCAAAATATCAATTACATGGAAAAACGAAACGTTTTGTCTCTAACTTGAGACTTCTTCAATTATAACACATCGTCAAACGCAAAAAAAAAAATAAAGAAAAAATTAGAAAATTACGCAAAAAACATTTTAAAATATAAATCGGCAATATTATATATCGAAAAAATTATATTCTTGTAAGTAGAAGATTTTATATTTAAAAAATCTTCTTAAAGATTTTAGATGATATTCTTCTGAAATTAAGAATATATTCTTAAATAAAGACTATATTCTTAAATAAAGAATATATTCTTAATTTAAGAATATAGTCTTTTTTGATAGTGAGATATATATGTTTTTCTATAGAGGCTTTTTATATTCTAATCAGTANATATTCTTATCAATATTACTATTTAGAGGATTTTCCTCTTAAAATAAGAAACTCTTCTTGGCCCCTATTTTAGTATAAAATATACTTAAAGTAAGTGGGATATCCTCAAAACAAGAATACAATTTTTTCGGTGTATCGATGGTGTTCTGATCTAAAACAGAGTTCTGGAATAGGACAAACGCAATTAAGAGAGCGCAAACAAACAAAAATGTCAAAAAACAAATTAGATGACTTACAGAGTATTGATGTTACGAGTCAACTGATCAATGTTTACATTTCATTTTTTATATTTAATTTTTTAAACAGCCCTTAAAAGTAAAACACGTCGCCGAAACGAAGATCGTGTCTCAAGTGACTCATTTAACGACTCATTTTTATCATTTTTTTTATGAACGTCGTTGATCATTGGATAGTGAGGAAAGAAGGTTCACATCGCGCAACATACGCGTATAACGTGTACGATTATAAATAAAATTAATTTTGTATATGTTCCGTACCAGTGCATTAATTTCTTTATTGCAATAACAACAATAATATTGAAAAGTTTAAAAGTTTATTGTCATTTACTTGAATTATGTGTTTTTTTTTTATTAATCTTGGCATCGTTGATCACCGATGATCTCCACGGCATTCAACGTGTTAAGTTTAATATTAATTAAATCAGAAGACAAGAACTCTTCAACAATTCAGAGATACAAAACAAATAATATTTAAATAAAAAAATAGACTACAGAGCCAATAGGCTACGAGTGTAGATGTGTGTATTTAATATTTATATCGATAATTTGACGTATCAATCATAATTTTTTGTTCCTTTCAATGTCAATACGACGCTATACATGAAATTTGCAATATTATTTAATTTAATAAAAATGAAGTTACATGTATTTATTGGAATTAAAACTATTTATATCGAATTATATGAGATGAGAAATCTATCAGGCTTCTAATCTCGAGAGATGAAATTTTGTTTGAAAGAAAATCTCCGTGAAAATCACACACCGCCTTGTGATTGTTGAAATCCAGCTAGATTTTCCGATAGCAAGAATCTCGGTAGAAAAACTCTCGTCTTTCGAGACGTCGAGATCGATCGACGTGTTTGTCTTTAAGCGAACCCAGTGTAGCTCTTCTCTTTGCCTGAATGTCACAGTCGTACCGGATACCACGACACCAGGCCAATCCGATCCGTTGGATCCGCTGAGCAGCCTCATGACGGGCAGCACGTCCAGCCAGAGGTATCAAGATTACGTGTCGCCCAGATCGCTGTCAACCGACTCAAGCACCACCGAAAGTCCGGTGCACGAAGAGCAGGGTTTCGGACAGAATTACGGCAACTACTTTCCGACGCCGGGCGTGTTGCCGAGTATTCTCTACTCCCAACTCTACGGGAATCAATTTCAAAATTCCGAGAGCGCCGAGCAGAGAACCGTGGCGGACAGTTGCAGCGTGAGGCAAGAAGAAGTCAGACCGGACAACAACGTATGGAGACCGTACTGAGAGACAAACGATTTCTTATCCGCATTATCGATTCGACCGCTGGAAGAAGCTGGAAAACTTTTGGAGAACGAGAGGAAAGTAAAGGATCTCGCGCTCTTTCGGGAATCGTCTGTTGCTGCTTGAAAAGTTCGATCGATGTGATCGGTAGTGTGACCATGGTGATAATTAAAAAAAAAAAAACAATCCTCGTCGAGGAGATGATTCTCTCGACGGGGCGAAACTATAGCACTTAATAGCGGGCATTAAAAAACAAACTCAATCCGGAGAGAACTCGAGGCGAGGAGGTCCGTTTTTCCGGTGAGCTTCGGGAAGTAAGAATTCTTTTACCGGTTGTGTCTCACGCCAACGAAAATTTTAGGGGAGTGAATGGAGCTCGGGAGGAATTTGTAATTATATGTGCGAACGCGAGAGAAATATAGTGTTAGTCACAGTGCGTGCGAGAAAGAGCGAGCGCGAGAGTGTGAAAGTGATAATGACGACGATGATAATTAATGATATATCCGCAGAATGTATATATGTGTACATAGCTAGACCATTGTCGTTTCATCGAGTCATTATCCGCTGTCGTTCCGAGCGACGCGACGCGCTAATTTATTTCATCGATTACGTTTTCATAGTATAATTGCGACTCTCTCTGACCTGCGTGCTGGCGGCGGGGATTTGTGCAATATTGTCGAGATTCGACGTCTGCAATCAAGCGCTTTCTTTTTTTTTAAATCTGTAAATATACGTAATCTTCCAACGTTGCGCGTTCATTTTTTCTCTTCGACCCGCGTTTTTTCCGCTCCAAAAAAAAAGAAAAAAAAAGAACCATCTTTCGGACTGAAGAAATCCGGCTCCGCGCTTTCGGCAAGATATTTCGCTGCGACCTTCAGTTATCTCGAAAAAAAAAAAAAAAAAATCGACCGAAAGGCTGTCACGTGCGGTCACGTTCGGGTCAGGTCGACGATAAGATCGAAATGAGTTTCGATTCGCATGTGCGAGGTTATAGAAGGTCTCTCCCTCCCCCCCGTGAAAATGTCACCGCGGGGGACGCGCGCGCGCGCGCGGGCGGCGGCGAAAAGCTACCGCGCGAGTAGTAGGTATTCAACGAACGAATGAGAAGAACGAACGTGCGCCCGTACCCCGGCATCGAATGATCTTTACATCGAAATTTCCCGTCAAAGAAACGAAAAATCTCTCGCGTGAAAAATAAATGATTTTTCGCGAGAATCACACCGCGCGCCGCGCCGGCAAAAGAAGCTTCCTCGTTTTTTGTAAGCCGGCGACGAGCGTTTCCAAAAAAAAATAAAAAATAAAAAATAAAAATAAAAAAACCAATAATAATAATTTCCGATATACATATCTACCGATCTATTGTTACCGTAGTTTTTGACCGAGTCGAAGTAAAAGTGTATTTCAAAATATGATCCACGAGTTTTCTCTTCACTCCTCCCCGCTGTGCGTCCACATCCCCCCATCCCTAGAATTCATTTTGTCCGTCTTTAAGCGATTTGAAGAACACGCATTATCTTTATTCTGTTGTTCATGATTTTTTTTTTGTATATTAGTGTTTTCAAAAATTTATCATTTTATTGCGGTATGATATTATATTTACATTATAATTGTTTTTTTTTTATTTGTGTTGTAGTGCCGTAGTTTTTGAACGATATTCTTCTGCTCTCTCTCTCTCTTTCTCTCTCTTTCTCTCGAAGTCGTCTTCGCTTAGATTATTATTATCATCTCCGAGGATCCAGCTACATCCAGATCTACATAACACACAGGTAGGTAGGAAAACGAATCTCTACTGGGGTCTCGGTAATGCCGAGGGTTCTAAAGGATTCTCTCACTGACGAAAGTGCGTATATGCAAATTTGCAAAAGATTTAATTAAACCCCTGGTCTCGGGAGGGGAATTCGCGTAGCTGCCTTGTAGCTTCGCGAAACCAAGTCGTGTGTATATATACGTATACGTGTGTGACGAAGGCTCGTTTCGTATTTAGTACACCGAGTTTATGTTTATCACAGTGAGAATTATGTGTTCTCCTCCACCACCACACGGATAGTTTCTAAAGATTTTTAGCACATAATATAAAAGTTTCGAAATATTAATTTTCAATTACATATAATATTTTAATATAAAATAATGATTATTACATAATGGTAACGATCGCAAACGCGCTATATTATTAACGATTTTAACAAACACAATGATGCATCAATATTATTAACTGAAAATATATTCGTCGCGCAAAATGTTCTGCGAATATAATTCGGTAGAGTCCAATTTGTGCGGAGTTGAAAGACAATAAATATCTTTAATAAACACTCGTGTAATTATATATTTTCGTGAACTGAATGTTCGAAAAGTCTCCGACTCCGTCAAGCTTTCGCTCATCGGTCAAAGGACATGTGCATCGGAAATGCGAAGTTTGACGCGGGGATTATGAAGCGGTTCGCATAAAGCGGTGTACTTTTCTCATTCGATAACCGAGTCACCGCGCTCAGGCTTTGGTGTTTATCGCTGTTGCACACAGCGAGGCAGAGAACGACGCGAGCAACCTGATGGACATATCCCGGCGGGAGGGTCGGGCGCGGGTGTACGACTCGTCGTTTATACGCGGTGCCGGCATAATGGAGTAGAGTGGAGTAGAGCACGGATAATGGAGTATGAAGAATAGCGTGCGGTGAATGTCGGGGATGGTCCCTCTCGCCCTTCCGCTCCCCGCGGCGGCTCTTCGTTACCCCTTTCATCGTCCCGGCTCTTCGCGAGGCGACTCGCGCGCGCGTCCACCGAGCCGAGTTCTCTCCAGCGAGGGGCGGCAAACTCGGACATGGCTCGTTGGCTCGAGCAGTTGGCCATATACCGATTTATCGTATCCCACAACCACCAGCCGCGTTGCCGATTGCGCGCGCTAAATCCACGATTTCCTCCCACGTTTCTCTCCCAAGCGATTCTTTCGCGCTTTTCTCGGGCTTTGTCGGGGTTCTCGAGATACGCGCGATATATTATTTCCGCTAACAAAAAGAGGACCGCGGCGCGATGCGGATTTTGAATGTCGAACGCTTTTGTCGCGCCGCGAAACTTCGCGCACTTCCTGTTTGATGTGAACGATAATAATTATTCGCTATAAAGCGCGTAATTTACGAGATCGGTTTGGTCCTTCGATGAAAAAGAAGTTAAACGTTAAAGAAGAGACTACGGTATGAGGGAAATGGTGGTTTGAACGTGCTGTAAATTTTGTGCAGCGCATTGCGCAGTTTACGAGAAATTTCTTTGAGCCATATAACTCGAAAGCAACGATCGATCGTGATATTAAATTTTAAGAGTATATTGTTGCACAAACTCTCTCGATGTAAAATAATAGCGTAATTTCAAATATACATTTTTTTTTTTTTAATATCGGTACTTGTTTTGCCGTACAATCACAATGCGTAATAATTATTTCAGTTGTATTTAAATTTTATATATTTAATCACACACACACGTTAATAGATGTTTCTGTGCCCTTTGTGAACGCGTTAACGTGACGACTGTTATTTCGCAAATTTGTAAACAAATGCTATGAAAAAAAATTAAAGGTGAGGAAACGCAAACAAAAAATGTCCCACAGCCCCACATACCGGATTGGATCGAACGCGTTTTACACACGTACGCACATTTCCCACATCTTTTCTACGCATCGAACGCACGTGGCGTTCGCTCGGTGGCGGCCGAGCGGTGCGGGGGTGGTTTTGTAGGTGGCGGAGAGAGACCGGCGGTGATGGGATGGCAAGAGGGAATGGTCGTTACACGCACCGGTCACTGCCACCCCCGTGGCTATCGCCGACACGACCCCCCCATGCAAAATCACCCTTTGTCGCGCTCGATGGGAAATTACTTTTTGTCCGTCGATTACGGGGTGAATTTTCGAACGACGAGACCCGATCATTTCGAACGAGATACGGCTCCGGTTCGGGATATCGCCGGGATAGGGAAATCGCACCGGCGTCGCGGCTTGTTCTCTCGTTTGTTACCAGCCGTTTAGCTCATTAATAAATTAATTCAGTCAGAGTTTCGCGTATAGTTTTTAATTTAAATTAATTTTCTTTTTTATTTACAGTTATCAGAGTATTCGGAATTGTTTAATTGTTATAAGATCGATTGTTAAAATAATAAGAAAAAAAAGTTTTAGATATATATATTTTTTATTAAACAATATTATTTAATTTTTTCTACGGAAGAAAGAAAGAGAGTACCGCGTGTTTGCTAATAAAAGGAAACGAAATCTCTCCGAAAACTGCTCGTTGCGCAAGCGCACAATTTTTACTTTCCAAAGAAATTGCGTAAAACTCTGTTAGACGGCGCCGTATTAACTTCCGCACGAATTCGTGCACCGCATGGCGATGCCTGGAAATAAGAGAGAGACTTGACGAAGTGTGCCCGCGGGGCCGCCAACCCTTGATTACCAAGATCTTCATCTACATGCTAAACATCGCTCCGCTCGTACCGTCTTGAATACTCTTGTACTTACGTATGTATCTAGATCCATGGCCCGCGGATCCTCGTCCCCGCTCGCTCGCGGCGCGCACGAATATTCCAACCCTCCTCGATCTCCCTGACACCCCGTGAAACACATTCCCGTACCAGTCTATATGATGTTTGCTTAGATTAAATTAACCGACCGTGCGCACAAGCCTTTGTTCTTCGCTCGGCACGAAACGCCGACATGCCGAAAGGAACATAAAAAAGAGCCGGGGAGAAAAAGCCTCGCTTGTACGCGGATCCTACGATTTCTCGCGTATTCGGGGTATATTGTAGATTAATTCGTACTTGCCGTAAAAAATTCATCAGGATGCAAAATACTTCAAGCGTTCTGGCACACGCAAAATCGTTTTCGATGACAATGATTCAAAATCAAAAATTGATATTTGTGCTTTTTTCTTGAAAGTTAATACGCGCTAGGCAAAGAAAAAAAAAACTTTACACGCATAAGACTCAATAAAAAATGTGTGACAGTTTTAAGATTCTTAAGAGAAGGCGCCATCTTTCTTAGTGACGACTAAACGTACGCCGGTAGCTTCTTAAAAGACGCTTGCCGGCGGCGCACCTTCTTTAAGAAAATATCCTTATTCTTTCTTTCTTACCGACTCATTTTGTGTTCCAGGCTCAATAACTGTTCATTCCTAATCTTACGTCGGTTTAATAAAGTGCGTCATAAAAAGTTTTCTAAAAGAAATTTTTAAATTCTTTTTTTAATTGTTAAATAATTGTATCACTTGAGAAAATAAGAGCCCAAACTATCCAACAAGTTTTGAAAAGTGTGTTGCGCTTGTAAGATTGACATAAGAAAATCACAAAATTAACAACCTTGTTAATAAAATTTTAAATTTGTGCGAAAAAAAATAAATATTTTACGGTTTTTAAAACTTATTCTTTACCGACCTTTTCGCGAGAGCTGCCTTACCACGAGGGTGACGTTTTCTTAGAGCTAAAGAAGGGTGCGAGAAAGAGGAGGGTGAGTCTTCTTAAATGTCTTTGCCGTCTTTCTCGTACGAGGGCGACACTGGTATCGTCTTAAGAAAAAAAAAAATTATTAAAACAACGAGTGCATTTTAATTGCAATCAAGATGCCTCTGTTTTGGATTATTTTATATTTCTTAAGTTTTACGTTTCAAGTTTGATAAATTCAGAATTAAGAAATCGAGATTCATTGCAACGAAAACTTTTCCAAAATTCAGTGACTTCGTTGATTTATTTGAAAGTTCAAAGGACGTTTCTATCATAAATGAGTTCTAATTTCTTTGTAATGCGTCTACTTATTTCTTATTGTTTGCATTTTGAAGAAATCTGGTAAGTATGGTTTTTTTTTAAATATACATGTGTTTATAAATATATATTTATACATGTGCATATATAGATATATGTACTGTTTTAAAATATAATTGTACACAGTAAACAATTAAAATATATAATAGTTTTATATATTATAAAACATTTTTTGTAAACTAAATTAAATTAAAATAT